TTTATTTATTTTTTTTTTTTTATATATATATAGTAATGATACAGAGTTATACATGAATATATAAAAAAATGTGAACATATCCTATATATAATTACATATAAAAAGTTTTCTTTAGATTTGACACAAGACTATATATAAAATACTTATTTATATAAAACAATTAGTTCACGATCATATAAATATATTATATAGTTTTCTAGTAATCTCTATGGTAAAAAGCTTACGTTTTGTAGTAATCTCTATGGTAAGAAGCTTACGTAAGTGCAATATAAATATAAATACGATGTTTGGTCCCTTGCACATGTCAACCCCAGACAACATACGATATTTATCAAACATTTTACAAATATATATATTAAGTACTTTATAAATATTCATATATCCTGGAAAGTTATATACAAGAAAGATTATGAATATTCAGAATATTTATGAAAATTGTTTAAGTGACCTCACGGGTTTTTAAAAAGACAGTAGAATAAAGAACATTGGAAGTGGTAACACTGCGGATTAACGAGTAAATTTTTTCAGACTAGAATAAAGCATAACAAGCAAGCGAAGCGGATCGTTCCAATTTCCTACTTCCTGTTTGCCTTATTATTAACAGTCAATACTCTTACTTATTGATGCTTACTTCCAATGTAGACTCTTTACTTATTACTGCTTACTTTTAATGTAGATGGTCCTTGAGAAAATCACGCTGGTAGCGTACGAGCGATAGTACTGCCTGTCATCGTGACGGGGGGAAACCGCAACAAAATGAAATGACGACGCAATGGAAAATTGCTCCGCATATCGGCAGCTCCGACAATCAAACGAGCACTTATGCCTCGTGGTGAAGGACTTTGTAATTTCATATTTAGTTGGAACTTCGCATCGCTCGGGGTATCATTTAATCTTATAGTGTATCTATAATCTTATAGTGTGTCTATATTTAGTTGCATGCGACTAGAAATTATCCTCCCTTTCTGTTATGCAGAACTAGTGATTAAGCGATAATGAAAATTGGCAGTCTCGGATGTTCTCATGCTGCTAGTACATTGAAGCGAAGTCAGTGATATCATCGGCTGACGCGTTCGTCAGATGCTTTTTGTCCTCTTCCTTCGTGACTTACCGCTTCGAGATTCACCTGCGAGTCGAGCAAGTCGCTGGTAAAGAAAGACCGGCGTCGGTTAGATTTTCTTGCTTGGACCATCGGCGTGTATTATTTTTTTTTTTTTTTGAGAATTCAGCAGGCCGAGTTTCGTCGTTCCAAGAGTGTGTTTAGTGTGTCGAGCGAAAAAAACTGAAAATATTTGAATATTTTCTCACAGAGGGACTGCATTCTGCAAACACCTACCGATGTTTGTCGGTTTAATAAGTGTCGTTGCACAGGTAGAATCGTAATAGCTGGCCGACGGTACACATCGAGCCTACAGTTGTCGGTAAACACATGATACACACCGAATATAGTCCTTGATTTATCGCCTGGCAATTTTTATCAATAGCACAAGGAAACACAAGCAGACAGCGTCTTACACAGACGCCAACTTACGTACATAGTTATGTGAAAACAAGAATTACTTACTGGATGTTGGCGATTAAAACAATTATAAAGCGGCTCGGGGTTTGTGAAGTCTCAGTTCGCGAAGGTATAATATATGCGTAGATCAGATTTATTGTTCAAACGTGAAGTAACGGTCGAGCAAATCGGATGGAATAGTAGAGAATTACAAATATATCGAGATAAGAAGGGACAAGTGAGAAGGAGTGCGAGTATAGGAAAAAAATGCGGTTGCTGTCGGTGATGGTACCCTGGCTGCTCTGCCTGTCAACCTGTGACAGCTATCGTTTCCTCGGTGTATTCCCTTTTCACGGCAAGAGCCACTTTGTTATGTTCGAGGCCCTGCTGAAGGGCCTGGCCAGGAAGGGTCACCAGGTGGACGTAATCAGTACGTTCCCCCTGAAGAAGCCCTATCCGAACTACAACGACATCGTAAAGCTGCAGGCGCCCATGCAGTTGATGAACAATCTAACGTACGAAATGATGAATAAACTGATCACATCTGACGTAGTAAATGCAGTCGCGACGATGGGCGGCAATAATCTCTGCGAGTATTTAGGCAAGCCAGAGATACTCGAGCTGGTGCGAAACCCTCCGAAGGATCCTCCTTACGACGCGGTGCTCTTGGAGGTATGTCCGGCGGAATTGATAATGTCAAGTCAAGGTTGAAGTCGCGATTCAAGCCGAATTCGACGCGTTTTATTCCGAAACGAGATGAAGAAGTCGACCGCCTTGAATTTATGTTTCGCAGTCTCGGCATTTACGTTTGCCTCGATATCACGATGCTAAACGCGATGAATAACATGACTTCATGATAAAGTACATATTGAAGAACCTGTATGGAGAAAGTTTGGCCGTCGTAACAAAACTATCGTTGCTACTGCATATTTATTACGAGAGCGATAAAATTTATTTGACAGAGCGGAAACTGTTTTGTTACCGGGGTAGGAAATATAACTTATACAAATTGGATTTTTATCGCGAATGGTGATTTGTTAATTTATTATAGTAATTATTCATAGTTAAAGTCCGATTATTCGATTGAACTATAAATGAAATCCTCACGTCGACATAAATTCGAACGATTGAAAGTTTCAGGTTACAACACTATATCTCCACGTAGCATATCACATTCAGCCAGTCATATTTTTGACGTGAGAGATATTATTAATCTTCGTGACGTAATTTAATACGTAAACAAATTATCTCTAATAATTTCTAATTATGAGCTCCGCTATGCAGCTGCAATCATATTTTTTCTGTTCGTTCTTCACGAGCAAATGTCGATTGATACGTTTCAACTCGTCTAACGCAACAGATCAATCGTTTGCCTCTACAATCAAGTTAGACATAAAAGGTCTTCCGATCAAGAGCCGCAAGATTTTTCTCCGATGCAAAGACAAAAATACTGATTAACTTAGCGATATTTACTTACTTTCGAGATGTAGCATGTAACTTTGTGTATTGATATTTTTCACATCAAACCTATGAACCATTTTTTAATATCAAAAAAATATTTTTCTAACTACTAATTAGTTTATTTTCATATCAAAGTCCCAGTTTATATTATATTTTTAATTATTTTTATCTTAAGAAATAAAAACGGATGAATTTTTTAATGTATTCAACATTAACTCGTACGTTTCCGAGTGGAGGTAATTTCACTACCACTTCGAATGAATTATCATTCGTTTCGAACAGACACTTCGAATTTAGACACTATATGAGATAATCGTGCCCCATTAGGTGTTCGGGGCTCATTGCTTTGCAATCATTGGCCACTTGTGGAATGTACCTATCATCGGGGTCAGCACGACCTCGCTGTACCCGTGGCTGCACTGGTTTGTCGCGCAGCCCGAGAATATCGCTTTCGTACCGAACAACTGCATCGGCTACGTCGGTTACATGAACTTCTGGCAGCGTGTACACAACGTGCTGCACACCTCTTACGCCAAGTGGTCCTTCTTCTCGAAAACGAGCGTGCAGGACGACATAATAAAGAAGTACTTCGGTCCGGGTATGCCGAGCGTTAGGGAACTGGAGAAGAAAGTGTCGATCATCCTCATGAACTCTCATATCTCTTTGAACGGTGTCAAGCCGACGACACCTGCTGTGGTGGACGTCGGAGGCCTACACATTTACGACGAGGGCTCGACGCTACGACCTGTAATTCCTCGTCGTTCGTTCTGCTATTTGCAACCGCAAGCGTTTTCACTTTTCCTTTACAATTGCGTCTTTTTGTTTCAATCAAGTTTTAAAACTCCTGTTTCCTCGTCTCAGCCATCTTGATAACATGTAAAAGTCAGAGATATCAAAGATAGCATCAGTAATCTGTATATTTACCCAAGCGTTCGTAATTATCGTTTCGCGAACTTCCTCTATCCTTTGTAGGAATTGGAGAAATGGATGAACGACAGCAAACACGGTTTCATTTACTTTACATTCGGCTCGATGGTAATGATCGAAACATTCCCAGACCAGTTCCTGAAAGTACTTTATACGAGCTTGGGCAAAATAGCACCAGTGCGGGTCTTAATGAAGGTACCGAGGCCGGAGAAACTGCCATCGAATTTACCCACGAACATTCAAACGTTTCGCTGGTTATCGCAGCTCAAAGTATTGAGTGAGTTCCCGTTTTCATTTATAGACTCACTTATAGAGTAATTATTTTATATTTTACTTTTAGAAGTACGAATTAAAGAAGTACGAATAGAGTAGCGTAATCGTACCAATATTTATATAATATTTCGAGGGTCATCTCTACGTTATGGATACTTATCAAGTTTGACATAAAACATTTAACTGTAATTAAACTTAAATTCCTTAAGTATAATTAAATATACGTTTGTATACGTTTATACACATTAACATACGTTATAAATAAACATAAGTTTTTTTTAATATACTTTAAAGACATATTTGAAATATTTTAAACATGTTTCAAATGTTTCGTGCAATTATAAATATAATCCTGCAGAGCACCCGAACATCAAAGTCTTCATCACTCACGGCGGCCTCATGGGGACACAGGAAGCGATAGCATGCGGCGTGCCCATGATCGGAATACCTTTGTTCGCCGATCAGTTCGCGAACATCGATTCGTACGTTGCACACAACATCGCCGTGAGGGTGAACATCAAAGGGATAACGGAGGAAATCTTGGATAAGGCCTTGAACGCAGTTTTATGGGATCCCTTGTACAGGTTTGCCAAACCTTCTTCTTTCCCTTGAATGCCGACCTTAATACGAAATCCGTCGAATTCCTTGGGAGAAAACGTCATATTTTGAAGTAGTGTCGTACACGCTTGTCATCGCAATGGCGATTTTATAAGAATTAAACCTTGAACTGTTGTCAGTAAATAATTTAATCATCTTTTTGTTAAATCAATAAATATAGTCCGCTGCGATTGATTATCTCCGTGAAGTGACGCTTACGCGAGTGGAATCATGACCACACCGTTAGAACTTTACGGTGTGATAGTTGCAATAATGCCGATCTATTCTTTCCAGGGAAAGCGCGCGGAACTTGTCCCGTCGATTCCTCGACAGGCCGATGAACGGTCTCGACACCGCTATTTTTTGGATCGAGTACGTCCTCAAGTACGGCAGCGACGTGTTGCGATCGCCCGCGTTAATCTTGCCCTGGTGGCAATTATATCTCCTCGACGTGATCGGTCTTTTTGTGATATGCGCGATAGTCGTAATCATCGTCGTTAAGTTCGTCGTGTGTTTCGTCTTGGAAATGATCAACGGAGGACTTGTCAGTTCATCACAATCCAAGAAGATCGACTGACCGAGTCAGCTGGCAACGCACTTTTTAGAACAATTGATCCAAGGTTCGTTGAATCGATTAATTTACGAACGCTACGACGAAAGCAGAAATGAATTAAACGGCGAAAATTATAAGACTAATGTCGATTGCAATTGACATCCTTGGTATTTTCTAACAAATGTTTTATTAAACGTAACATTATTTCAAGACAGATTACCTGGCGGCTTAATCTTAGTCGCGCAGAAGCATACAATGTTATGTGATCCTCCCGTTATATATACATATACAGATATTTATATTATGTCTGCATTACCTCAGGTAAATAAATACATTGGTATCTAAAATCTAGGGGTTCATGTATTTGTTTCTTACTGTTTTTCTCCTTGTTATTGCCGTATTATTGTCGACCGAGCTCGCTCGCTCCGCCACCGAACGATATCCGTTTTCCTGATCCCGATAGTTCGTTGCATTTTACCGAAAAATCGTCATCCGTCATCATAGTGGCTTATCGTTATGTCGAAATAGAACGTTCTCATCGATGATACACTATCTCACGTTCAATATCGGCAATGTAATAGTCTATGTAATCGCGCATCGTGCTCGTGACATAATGATAATTATGCTCATGACGGTAATTATATCGCCGACAAATCGCCGACTCTCCTTGCGACTTGGCGCGAGGCTGACGCTGTGTGCAACAAGCCTCGCTGATAAATCGAACAAGAGGAAGAAAAGGAGGAACACGACGGTCGTTCGCTCTCCATCTTCCTCTCTCGTGACGTTCGTGAATGAATGAGTATTTCAAAGGAAGGAAAAAGGAGAAAGATTACGCTGTACACGCTGTGTGTATGTGTGTGTGTGTGATAAGTACGTCTCTACACAGGCGGCAGGTACTGGTTGCCTGCTGGCAGGTTGCTCTTCCGGTAATCATATCCGTCGTCGACGTAGCTGGTCGGCGCGACGTCTATTTTCGCTTCCGGTCCAGACGAGAAGTGCATGCTCTGCTTCACCCAAAGGAGGTCAATGGGCGCGAACGTCGCGACCTGGGAAACGCATGAGTCAGATATCCGACGAAGCACGGAATCAATAGAGCGAGGAGGACCGCAATTTTATATATAAAAACTATTAAATTATTAAGTTATTTTAGCTATTAAATTCCGTAAAATGAAAATTAGGGGAAATAAAAAAAGTTTTAAATTCTGAGTACTTATCTTTCTTAGTCTGCAAAGTATTTATCTGTAAAACATCTATAAATCTTTGGATATTTATTTGTAATAAATATTTGTAAATATTTTCAATTATATCTGTAAATATTCATCTCTCTTACCTATAAAGTGTATATATTCAGAAAATATTTCATATGTTAAGTCCAATATTTTAACGTAAAATAAAAATCAAAAAGAATCTTCGGGAAGACGTTGAGGAAAACAAACGGGATCTTTTCGGGTTTCCCACTCAGAATCGTTTGAAGCGAAATTTTCCACGTAGATTCTGGCCTCGATTATGGTTCTCCCTTATGAATATATATACACATACCTGATTTGTGGGCAAACATCCAGTGTCCTGGCTATAGATACCGGCGATGTGGTACGCTCCGTTGCCGTCGTAGCAGGCTAACGGACCGCCGACGTCCGCTTGGCACATGTTGTTCTCGTCGCGCGCCTTGCCGCAGATCACATCGTTCGCGATGCTGATCGGAGATTCCGCATTCAGCACGCGGCTCTGGCAAACCTCGCGCGACAACAAGTCCACGTCCACCATGTGCATGATGGCACCAGCGTAATGAGCTGAATTCACATACATCGGGTATGGCGATACACTCGACTAGGTTAATGAATTACAAGTATTACCTTGCAGTATCGATTTGCCCCATCCCGTCACGATGCACCGCGATGTCTCTTGCACCTGATAGTCCTCGGGGAGGCACAGCGTGTTGATGTGTAAGTTGAAACTCGCAGGATGCTCCAAGATCAACATGGCGGTGTCGTTACTGAACAATCCTTCGATGTAACCGGGATGGTACCTGATCGTTTGCACGTTGATAATTTCGAACGGAAGCGGCTCCTCTTGCTCAACCTCGAAGCCCAGCTTCCACTCGCCGAGTTTCACGGAGATTTCGTCCGGTGAGTATCTGAAAGAGTTCAATCGATTGGTCGATAGCTGGGGAATTCTTAATTACTCTGCTCTTTCAGAGCGAAATTTCCGAAATGTAGCCTTAACAAGCGGAAAAAGGGCATAGAATAATTAATTTGTGAAAGACAATAAAAGATACATATTAAAATATATGATGTTAATAATGTATCTAAATAATATATAATATAAATAACATAAAATATATAAAAAATTAAAACTATATATATATATAATGATAAATTTTTTATGCAAAATATATGTAAAATATATACGATACAAATATTCAAATTAAAGTAGTCATTAAAGAAGTAATGATTATCTGCCGTAAAGACTTCTTTGTGAAGGATGGCAAGGATATTTATTGAAGTTTTCGTTACCTGCTCACGCAGCTGGCAGCTGTCAAGACGGCATTAGGTGCCACGAGCGCACCGGAACACAAGATCTTACGTTCCGGCGACCACAGGACCATCGCCTGCCACGGGATCTCCGCGAAAGCCGCGTCGGTCTCCCTGAAGCCGGTCGGCCGTTGGTCCTCAACAGGCATAAGAATACCAGATACAGATTTCCAAAAATTCAAACGAATATAGGCACACGCATGTGTGTACAGATGTGTGGAGGAAGTACTGGGACTAAAAGATCCGAGAAACAGTCTCACTCGTGATAATTAAAATAAAATAATATCTGTTATCTCTGCTCTATCAACCGCAACCTGACGTATAAATAAAGCATTAATAAGAAAAATGAAGAATAATATCTCCGTGTTTGTAATATTCTGTGTGCATTCCCCTTAACTTTTCTCGAAACGATGTCGGAGAGACTTACGTAATTCCTCACGCCGCACGGATTGCTCGGCACTTGCGGCACCACGGCAGTAGGCTGCTGGTCGCTCGAGTCGGAGTAGTACGGCTTCTTGGTGAACGGCTCGGGCGTGTTGGCGACTATCGGCACCTCCGGCACCACCTGAGTCGGGACTGGCAGCACATGCGGCGTCGGCACGTTGGAGTCTTCCGGCACCAGCGGCACCACGTTCGTCGGATGTTGCTCTTGGAACTGAGGTGGCTGCACGACGGGCGGCCTCACCGGCTTGGGGATCGTCTTGGTGGGTTGTTGTGGCTTCTTCGTCGGTGGTGGCACCTTCTCGATGTTGAGGAACGTCGGGAAGCCCTGCTCGTCGAAGCCGCCGGTATAGTTGGCCGGCAGGTTGCCCGTCGGCCATGGGTCCACGTAGTTCGGGTCGCGGCAACACTTGCCGATCACCCCGGTCTCCTGGTTCCTGCAGCTCTGCGAGTCAAATGCGAGATCGTGCGTTCAATTATTATGATTTCTTTTTTTTTCAAGGCGAAAGTATCAATGCTTGGTTACAGGTATCTTACTCTGGACATTCTCGTTGGATTTGGTCTTCAAGTATGAATATTCGAACTCTCAACATAGAATATATTTGTACATGAATTGAATGTTCACGGCGAAATTGGGACATTCGACGTTACTCACGCTCAACGGCACACGTCGTAGAAGCTGCTTGCTGGTGAGCGCGACCGGTTCGGGGCTGATGACACCTTCCAACGTGCAGTACTGCTCCTCCACGCAGAGCAGAGCAGCCGCGCAGCCCGACTGGATCGGAAACTGGAATATCGCGGGATTCGCGGCTGGGTTCGCTGCCGGTGCAACTGGCTCGCTGTCGATCACACTGCCTGTAATGTTAATCAGTTGCCGATTATAAGATATCAACTAGACATATTTCTATTCACGGGATGATGCCAATTGCTATCTCGTTGTTAGATTAGATTCTGCGACTTTCGGCTTTTCGACTTTTTATGCGGGATGTTGCACGTGGTGCGTACCTTCCTGGAACTGTTCCCGTGGACTCGAGCCAGACACTTGATTGTAATCAAGGGGCACCTCTTCAGGCGCTTTCACGTTATCATGCGGCTGGCCGACGGAGTCGATCGCGTATCCGTCGTTCGTCCCGGATTGCAATTCGGCTTCGTTTCCTCCTAACGGCGGATTCACCTGGACCGCGTCCGCCTGATTGTCCTCGCCATACTGAACGTACTTCTGATCGTTCTCCAAACTGGGCTCCGGGTACTGGTGATTATACCGATCGTCCTTCAGCACCGTGTTGTACTGCTCGTCATAGGGTGAGTTATTCACGTCATATCGCACGGTGCAACACGTCTCGCTACTGAGTTTGCATTCTTGCACCTGAAGCAATCGCAAAGACTCCTTAGATCCTGAACTGCGAATTCTAAGGCTCTATTAGTACTCAGGATATATCAGACGTATTAATTGAAGTATACGCGACATAAGAATGTTATCATTGAAATCTAATTCAGTGTAAATAGATTAAGATTCCACGAAAAAGAAATATCCGACGTTATTACGCGCGTGAAATAAAATAAATGAAATAATTTGTAGAAATTAACAAATAAATCCGATATCACGGCCAGTCTCGTGATTAGTCATCTGTTAATTTCGAACAAGATAAGTAAATAAAAATTGGCAGTAACAGGAAGCGATGACGGACGGAGAGACAATCTCACCTGTCCTGGCCGAGTGAAGCCTTGCTTCAAGTGATGCACGTATCCATCGACGCACAAGCTCTTGCTAACGCAGACTTCGTCCTGGCCGCTACAAGTGATGGTGAGATCGTTCAGGGAGTTAGGATAGGTCTGTAGCGTTTGATCGGGCTGATACACGTAATCAGGATTGTGTTGCTGTTGCTGCTGCTGCTGTGACTCGGAGGGAGCGTGCGTCTCGTATCCCGCGAATGCGCCTGCATCAAGACGTAGCGATAAAATGCAAATGATTCGTTATTTTCCTCGGATCTCGAGCGAGACAAGTGAAGTGACGGAGTTACTCACTTTGTTGCGATTGATCCCAATTAAATGGCGCTTGGCTTATCTGCCCCGGCACGACGTTCTCCTTGTAGTTGGGAAGGATGTTGCCTTGAACTCGAGGAACACCGTCGTCACCGTAATAGACAACTTGCTCCTCTGAAACGAGATTCGGTTGATGCAACCCGTTCGGTTTCTCGGGAATTTGACTCATGCCTCTCTTCGCTATTCTTTCTTCGATAATAAATAATAAACTTAATAAAATTGACAATGGGATAAAATAGGTTTCTCAAAAATGCGGACAAATGCATCTCGAGGGAAGCTTGTACAGATGAAACTTTGTCTGTTGTTCTGCTCGAGTTTCCTATTTTTCAACTCTCTTCGCATAGAAAAAAACTCATAACTAAATTATCAGATAATGTTCTCTTGATATATACGCGTCGAGGAAACATAGTGAATTTAAAATTTGCTTTTGATCGGCGAGTCGGGAGAGAAAAACGGAATATGCATCTCGAGTCTCTTATATGAACAGAATATTATAGCTTTTTTACATAAGTTTTTATCAACTTCGTGTTTGTTAGTGGAGATAGACTGTCGGCGAGGTTCATTTTGCTAAGGAACATAATCAGTTTTTACAATTTATCTCGCTAAGATACGTAGTAAATTTTTAGAATTTATCTCCCTAAGGAACATGATAAATTCTTGAATAATAATCTTCAGTTCCTAAAATATAGATAGCACGTACGAAGCGAAAAGATAATAAATTAAGGTGGCATGTTAATATGTTCCTCGGTTAGAAAATTCCACGACGGTTAATTTTTCCATAAAATTCTCTCCGTATATGCGAATGCGTGTTTTCATACTAACGTGGTTGCAATTGATGCGGCAACTCTCCGTAAGGGAGTCCACGGGTGTGCGTAGCTAACGCTACTACGACTAGTAGCATCTCCAGCAGTGGCCTCATCGTGGAAATCTGGAAAACAGAAAAACAATCCACGTTGAACGACGTTTCCTTCGTATTCGCGACGCGAACGTCATTCGAACGATCTATCGCGAGACATAGATAGACAAACGCAAGTCGCAATAACGTTTGCTTTTCCTTCGCGCGCGCGGACGATCGCAGTGAATTATATCAAGTGCGAGCGTTTCTTATTATAATTTTATCGTGCGCCTGTCCGCGCTTCAACCGACTCGTGGACGCTCCGCGGACACCAGAACGCGTTAGAATGACGACAGGTGTGAGAACGTTGCGGATCACGGCGCATTATGGTCACGAGGATCGCAAGAAGACCGCTTCGACGCGGGGCTCTCCTCGCGCGTAGGTATAATCTATTCGTGCGAAACAGCATCCAGCAGCCTTTAGCGACCTGTGCACACACCAAGTGGGACGAGAATTCCCACCTGGAAAGGTGGTGACGAGACGTTACGCGAGATATATATATATAAAGCTGCGAGTATATCGTGTTCTTCCTCCTTCTCTTTTTCTTCTTTCTTTTCATTAATAATTAACACATTGACTACCTACATGGTGGTGCAAACAGAAAGATATCGTTCTACCGCTAAGAAAAGCGATTACTCAGCTCACGTTCCTTCTTTTTAAATAATGTTCGATGTATCTCCGACAAAAAAATATTTTCTGGTAACAGAAATATGCTCATCTTGAAATATGCTCATCGCGCATTTTAGAATAGCTCGTTATCACGTATTCAAAAGGAGAATTCATTTTTTTCTTTCCAAAAATATCATAACACTTTATCGAATAAAAGCAGAGTAATTAGAGGTTCAATCAATTTAAATGAACAACTCGATTTTTGTATTAATTTAATATCCTTGATTGAAGTACAGAGAAGAGGTAGTATTGTAGTCCCCTATTTACATTTTATACAATAAGTTTGTTAATAATCAATACTTGAAATTGCAAACTTTAACTATCATATTCGTCAAAATATTGTTCAATCGATTCTAGACTCAAAGTTATAAAATATTTGTTACTTGGGACGTTATTTATGAAAATATGGCGGCACTGCATGATGGGACAGAAAGGAAGAGGAACAGTGGTGGTAACGTAGTCCCCCCCTAAAATAGATTTGAATAATAGATTCTGATTTCAAAAATGTAATGCTTCGTTACAAATTTATATATTAATTCAAAATAAACGTAGGAAAAAACAGAAACGGGTATAACCGTGAATTTTTAATACAGATACGTTGTATAAGCGCGTGGGATATCGGGTATCTCTTTCGCGACCGAATGCTGCTGGATACGTCGCGCCCGATGTTTTTTCAAACGATGAAATAATCCATCGGATTACTTGGACGGAGCCCAAGTATGCAAGGACCTTTGTTGTGCGGTTATTTATACGGAAATTATACGGCTGCCCGGATTGCCGCAAAAATATCGATTCCTATTTACATGGCCGGCAGCGTAGGTGCGAACAGACATCCGTCTGTCAGTGATGTCATCTCGCCTGGATTAGGTCAGGTCAGGGCCACGAGAGGAACGGTAAACGAAACGCGCGCTTAATTGGAAGAATATCCGATGTTCCGCTGTTCGCAAAATTCCATTAGTTACGTCATTCGTGACGAGTGATCGGTTGTTTGATCGATCGAGTGTCCGACTGAATTTACTTGGACGGCCAAAGTGTCTCGGAAATCGGGGACTGCGACGCGACAACAGTTGGTTTCGACTGTTCTTGGGGAATCGATTTGACACAACAAATGCCGTAATAGTCCGTAATCGATGACCGTAATCGATTCTATCCTGCCTCTTATTCTTTCCTAAGTCTTCTAAATGACACAGAAAGAGAATTCACCTTCCTCTTTTCAATAGAATAAATTGGTTCTTCAAATCTAATTGATGATCGAAAATATACCGAGGGTTAATCTTTTGGAATTTTCGTTGAAAAGATCGAGTTAGATCATGGATCACACGTAAACTAACCGTGAGGTGACGGCGCATATTATCAACAGAATACCATTACGTCAGCGCGCCTCGAAAAACGCAACGCGTGCGACAAAAAAGATCGAGTCGAATGAATCGATTAACGTAAATCCGTGATGAACGACACGCAGGATCGCGTCGCCAGATTCACATCCTGAATCGAATTTCGCGTGAATCAGCCGCGCACGTAGAACGGAGCTCCCGACGTCGCAGAGGTCACCGAGAAGTTCGAGAGTTCCGGGGGGGATTTCGCTTTAAGATAATCCAGTGAGAAAAACGAATATTATCGTCAAGATTCTGTATTCAAAGGACTTCAATCTCGAGGGGTGAGCGTGGACTTCTCACGTGCGATGGTCCTCCGTGTGGTGACCCTCGCGGTAGGAAGGAAAGGTCGACGCGAAGGATCCGTGCCGGGCGAGTGACTGGCGGAATTGCTACACGCGCTGTGAATTCACACGCCTCGAACGCGCCGTGGAAATCCCGACGACGGGGCAGGCACGTGCGCGAAGGTGCCCGGCGGGTCGTAACGTGCAACGAGTCGTCATTCACGCCGTGGCGGAACCGGAGATCCGTTTCGGGTGAAATCAAACGGCTCCTCTAATCGTCGTGATCGGTAACTAATAAGAAAGAAATGGCTCGGGACGCTTTCTACTTCTTTTCACTCTCCGTCAGACAAATGAGCCTTCGCGTGGAATAAGTTGTAATGTGTGATGTAATCGGTCACCGAACGCGTGGGAAACTCGCTCGTGCGATTTTTGCACTTAATATTTATTTTAATCGCTGCAAATCTCGACATGTCATTTTTATATATTTGGAGAATATAATTCGGAATACACTTTTTTTTATTAGCGGCGGGAGACTTGACGCATCGAATGCCACGTCACTCATGAATGGCACGAGGAGGACAAATTTTTGCTGACACGGCAAATTGTTTGTTATTATAGTGACGGTAAAGAGATTTGTTATATGAGAAAAATAATCTCCCTGTTGTCGTTGCGACAACGATGAAATTTACTCGGCATAATCATGCCAATCCGTCTTTTGACGAGGCACGATTTGCAACAGAATTGGAAGATAGGAATATATTTATACAAGCTTGACATTCGCCATAAATTTCCGGATATAATTGCGTCAATTAGCACTACTACTTAAAACGGTGAGTATAAACTTCCGCATAATGCATAATTCATAACATATAAGGAAATAAACAAATCAGAATCTTTCTATTCTCATGAATGGAAATAAAAGATCTTTCCGCTTGCGCTTTGCTATGTATCTCCAATCTAAGGCAAGAACAACGGTGGATAAAGTTAGGAGGTATGATCGGCGTCGTTTCAACATCATCAAAGGTTTTTCAGCATCGACATTATGATCACTTTATCATCGACGAAATAATAACGATGAAGAATAGCAATAAAAGTCCAGCTTAAGTAAACGACATAAACTACGGAAATATTAAAAATCACACCGATCGATATTGCACAGCAAGATCGACTTTCATTCTCAACTCGACCGGGTCATCGACCGTTTCGACGTCCGCGTCAAATCCGATTCAAAACGTGGTCGGCGTCTTCTCGCGCGCCTCGAGCGTTCGAATTCTCCTCGTTCGAAACTCCTCGGCCCCAATTAATTAACTATTCGCAACTAATTTCGAGGCGGAAAGAGAAGGGAAAAAGGGATCGACCTCGATCCGCGCGCATTCCGCGGGCGCAGCCCGGAGAGGCAATGTCGGCTATTAAAGTCGCGATAAAAATAATAACGCCGATCGCGAGCGCGCGCGAGAGGGATTAACGGCGCCTGGTGGCCGGTCCGGAGAAAGTCCGCGAGAGGAGGCGCGGCGGGCAAGTAGGCAGGCAGGTAGGCAGAGATGTATAGAGCGAAACGCCGAAAATTCACGATGCGTTCGATTTCCACGATAAGCGCGACGACGGACACGATTCCGACCGCCAAAATATTATTTTACGCGCAGCTCCGTGTCGGCCCCCTCCGCTCCCTCACACGGCCCCGCGTGCACGCGTGCGAGCGCGCTTTCACGTATACATTAGCTACGCTACGACTTTCTCTCCCTCATTGAATTACGCAGATTACCCGGGTCCCGGTACAAATCAGACGTGTCGAAGCCGCGTAATCCGGCGCATCCTAATAACCCGAATCTGGGGCCGAGGCGTCCGGAGAGATCCGGCTCTCTCGCTCTCCCGGCTTTTTATCCCGCGCGCAGAAACGGCCTGAAAATTCTTCTCCCCTTTTTCCTCTCCTTTCCTCCTTTCCCTTCTTCTCTTCCCTCTTCGCTCTCCGTCTGTCCCGCGCACTGCTCGAAAGCGCATAAATAAACCGAGTCGATTTTGAATTGGCGCTTCGGCGCTTTTGCAACGGGTGGGTGTAGATATGCATACCAGCGTAAATACTTAAATATTCACGTCCTCATTAATAACGGCCGGCCGGCCGAATAGGCCGCCAAGTAGAAACTTACTTTCGATTTGTCAATCAATAAGTACTTTCACCGATATATACACCGGCATTCCGCTATGCTGCGCGCGCGCATACATTAAGATACTCGCGTAATTAACAGCCGAGTGGCAATTCCGGCTGTTGAGATGTACGTACGCATGTTTCGCGCCCACCGCGTGCCGTTATCGCGACCTTATCGCGGCCTTGCCCGAATCATCAACAAGGACGTCGCGAAAAACGGCGAGTAGCTGCCGCTGCTTTTGCAACTGCGGAATAATTGTCCGCAAGGTGAGAGAAACGCGACCGAATTTTGGGATTTTCGTCGTGCGTCTTTAATTGATTGATTGCGGAATCGTTCGTCCGCTTTTTCTCTCCCGGTTCTCGGCGGAATTCCTCCGAGGGCTGTAACTCATCCGTCGCCATTCAAGATCGCTCGATCGAATGAAGCTGTGAATCTAAACAAGCTCTGATATCACGCTCATTAATCACCGAACTTACCATCGACGCTTGATTGACGCCTTGATTAACGATTCGCTCTTTTAGATAGCCGAGGTTACGTCGTGATTATGCCATTGTATCAATCAACGTTCCGCCGTAATTAAATGGTCAAAATGCAGGAGCCCGGTATTCGTCTGTACGAATCGCTCGTCATTTAATTTGGCAATCGCCGACCTTTCCTTCGATCGGCTGCGAGTGTCCGATGCGAACGGCACAATTAAAAAGGAGAGGAGCGCAAAATCGCAAGATTTATCGATTTTTATCTCGGCTTCAACGGAAATCGTAAATACAAGCGTCTC